AAAAAGGACTTTTAATAAAAACATTTATTTATTTTAGAGAGAGAGAGAATGCAAGTGGGGGTGGGGGGACGCAGAGGGAGAGAAGCAGACTCCCTGGTAAGCGAAGAGCCCAATGACACTGGGCTCGATCCCATGATCCTGAGATCATTACCTGAGCTGAAACCAAGAGTCGGAGTCAGATGTATAACTGAGCCATCTAGGTGCCCCAAAAATAAAATCTTAAAAAAAAATATATAATCTTAAAAGAAAAAAGAACCAACTTCTGCTTTTATCATGGAATGGAACATTACAAAACTTTTTATTATGAAATTTACAAATTCCACGTACCCATCACTTAGCTGCAACAATTATCAACACAGCAATTTTGCATCATCTGCTCTATCCAACCACTTCCATAAGATACGATGCTATTTTAGGAGGGGAAGAATGAAGGGGAGTAAGTCGGAGGGGGAGATGAACCATGAGAGACGATGGACTCTGAAAAACAAACTGAGGGTTCTAGAGGGGAGGGGGGTGGGGGGATGGGTTAGCCTGGTGATGGGTATTAAAGAGGGCACATTCTGCGTGGAGCACTGGGTGTTATGCACAAACAATGAATCATGGAACACTACCTCAAAAACTAATGATGTAATGTATGGTGATTAACATAACAATAAAAATTTAAAAAAAGATACTATGCTATTTTGAAGCAGATCTTAGACATAATTTTATAATTACTTAAATATTCTCTTTAAGAAAACAAAACATAACAAATTAATACACCCCTGTTTCCCATCACCCAGCTGTAAGCCATCAATTCAGTACAGTCTTGCTTAATCTCTACCCTCTCCCATTCACTAGATTATCGTGAAGCAAATCCAAGACATTGAATGTTCTACTGTGCTTACATTTAAATGTCCACTTGAAATCATTTCAGAAGTACAGTAGTGTATGAGTCTTCTTAAATCTTTTTTTTCATTTTAATCTAACTGAAATTTTATCAAATTGGCAGATAACATTTTTCTGGAGATTTTATATTCTTCTGATCCAAAACTGGATGCAGCACGAGAGATTTTAAGAAAAATCGAATACCGTAATCTATACAAGTATGTGGGTGAGACTAAGCCAAAGGGAAAAACAAAAATTGAAAGGGTAAGTTGTCAAACACCTTTCCAGTAGTGAAAGGTCTCTCTCTTCCATTTGTCCTCCAAGAGGAAACCATTAACCCATTATAATACCACAACTCTGTTCTAAGCCCTTTACATTCATTTTTACTTAATCTTCTCATCAATAACGTGTTCTTTGGTCCTGTAGATGAATGAACTGAGGCTTGGGAGAGATTAAATAACTTGCCTATGGAAGCACTAGTGAGCCAGTATTCAAAGCCAAGTCTGACTTAGTCCAAACCTTTACTGTCTCATCCCAGAAGTGAGGGGGGCCTCCCAAATTTTGGCTAGATCCAATGGCAAGAAAATCGGGCCTCAAAATATGGTATCTGCATGAGCTTCATGGAGACGCTAAGGACCTGCTGTTCATAATTTCTTCTTTCACACTATATCAGGTTCTCCCAGATGGTGCATGCCAAATATCTATATCTGTTTTCCCCTCTTGCTTGTGGAAGGTTTTTCTCTTTGCCAGAAAGCCAGTAACATGAGCTATACTGATAACCACACCCTGCCGCCTAACACTTTCCTCTTATTTTACTAATAGGTCAATGCCACTTTTTTTTTTTAATGTGAAAATTTTGTTAAGAGAATCACTGTATTGTGGTTTGTTTGAAGGATGGCAGAAGCAGAAGCCACGTATTTGTTAGGGATATCTCTACCCACTTTTCCTAGTAAAGTGCCATTTTCAGAGAGGGAACCTTTTGTGGCATAAACACTTAATGATGAAAAACTGGGGTTCTAACATGAGGAGTCTTGTCTTTTCTAGGAAGACTATAAATGCCTTCCAGAGGAGATTGCCAATGCTAAACCTAGTGACGTAGTGCTGGAAGCTGAACTGAAGGCTGAAGATTTAATAGTGGATGTAAGTAGTTAGCCTGATAATATACTAAGAAATTTTTTTAAGATTAAAGCCTCCCCCGTTCCATTATAAAAGTAGTACATGTTCATTAAAGAAAATTTGAAAATACAGAAAAATAGAAGGAAGGAAAAGAATCACCTGTGATCTCAAAGAATCAACATTAGCCAGTTTTTAAAATTTTCTTTGACATTGATTTTTTTTTTTTTTAAAGATTTTATTTCTTTATTTGAGAGAGAGAATGAGATCGAGAGAAAGCACGAGAGGGGGGAGTCAGAGGGAGAAGCAGACTCCCTGCTGAGCAGGGAGCCTGATGCGGGACTCGATCCCAGGACTCCAGGATCATGACCTGAGCCGAAGGCAGTTGCTTAACCAACTGAGCCACCCAGGCTCCCTGACATTGATATTTTTAATGTAATCGTGATCATGTGGTTAGCAGAACATTGCATATATTGATTTTTGAATGTTTTCTTGATCACAAAAGTAATCTATGCCAATTATTTTTTTAAAATTGTCTATGCCTACAAAGGAAAAAGACTTTTTAGCTCCTTCATAGAGGCTGTAGTGTCTTGTATCCTAACAAGACTATTAAATGGCTTCTTCACATTTTGTTTTGTTTCTTATAGGAGCCGCTTTTCAGAGTTCTACTCCTCTGAAATCTTGGGACAGTGTTGCCCATGAATTTTTTTCCATAAGCCTCTCATTTGCTGTTTTTCTTGTTGATGCATCTTTGGTGAAGGGTGATCTGTCCATAACCATTCTTTACCAAGGGATACAGCAAGTGAATTGTCCTTGGACCCAGTCTAGTCACTTGGCTGAGGGTTAAAGTGCCTCACACCTGCAGATCAGGCTACGGTTTCCTGTTTCTTTAGATGAAATTACACCAGAATAAAGGGATTTTCTGAATTTCTGAGTTTCTGAGATTCTGAAAGAACTTACTCTCCCGAATGTTTTCTCTGGGCTGTCACATGTCCTCCCTTGCCCTCAGTGCTTTACTTGAGAGTCTGCATTGCCCTCAATTCAGTGCACTATCCTAGTCAATCCCTGACCTCCCATCTGGTTTTTCTCTCAAAGTGCAATCTGCTAATGAATATAGGATCAGAAGTACTTGAAGAGACATAGGAGAAGACAGCACACACATGATTAAGCTTGCTTTAACCTAAAGGCAAATTGATGGAGCAATGAAAGATTTTTTTTGACTATCAGACATGTCAGAACAAAAAATTCTGTAAGATTTTGTTATGATAAAGGTATGTGAAAATGGGAATGTAAATTGATACAGGAGACCATATTAGGGTCGATGTTAACCAACCCAGCAATTTCATTCTAGATATTTGTTGTAAGGAGATGATCAGTTTTGAAAAAAAAAAAACAAAAACAAAAAACAAGCACAAATCTATATATTGTGGCATTATTATAGTGTAAAATAAGGGGGGGAAAGGATATATCTCTCAATAGGAAATATAGTGGAATAATGCAAACATTAAAAGTTGTTCTTAACATGAAAAGATATTTATAACTAAAAAAGCAATACATTCAGAATGATTTTATTTTTGTTTCTTTAAATGTATATACACATGTGTGTATAGTGAGCACACTGAAAAAAATTCTGGATGTATTGGTAAAACGTTAACATTGTTTCTACCCAGGTGATGGAGTTGCAGGTACTTTTTTTTTTTTACAGTGAGTATGGTAGAAGAGTTTCATAATCAGAAAAAGATGGGTGAAGGTGGGGTTAAGATGGGTAAAGCCCTTTTGTATTCTGAGAAAGCAATTTGCTAATTAAATGTCTTATGTATTAGCCTCTCAATTTTAGTTTGACAGTGTAATATATTTATTGGTACATTTTACTATATGTGCCTCCTTTTAAGACTGTGTGTAGTAACTTTTATGATTACTTAATGGGCTATAAAACTTAATTTTGCTGTTTAGAATGAAAGATTCATAGTTGTTGATCTGTAGCTACATTTTATTCTTGAGTCCTTCCTTGGTTAAGAATGGGAACTCCAACTATTATAGTATTGCCCTTCTAGAAAAATAACCATTTTATCAAATCTGCTTTAAGGAGGAATTTCTAGTTATATATGTTTTGGAGAAAATAGGTATTGCCTTTTATTTCTAGTCTAAAACCAAGGAAATAAATACCAAAGAGCTGGTGGCACTCCTGAAAATTTGATTAGTGTTCACACCTTACCATGATGTGTAACAGTGTCAAGGCTACATTGGGTCCCTCCCCACATGAAACAGCACCCAAGAGAGAAGCCTAGGATAGCACCAGCCCTGGGTTCATGGGGAGACTGAACCATTGCTCCCTCCCAGGTAAAGGCGTGCAGAACCCTCGCTGCAGCTCTCAAAGCCAGTAGCACACACACGCTGGGAGACACACCCCTGGTCTGACTTCGGGACCAGAGCTGAACCTCAGTGTCTTCTTTTCTCTCACAAGGTACTGGCAGGAACTTCATAGACCATGTTTGTTTGTTTGTTTTCTTCAGGAACCAGTCACAGGATAAGCTCCTCTTATCGTCTGTTCTTTTCTGTACCATCATCACCCCATTACTCTAGTTTTTCCCCCTCTTATTTTCAGACCCTCCCTTTCTCCCAGTCCTGTCCATGGAGCCCTTCCACACCATAATTAACACGCTTCCCTGGATCCTCAGCCTCTTTGTTGGCTCTCTTTGCCCTTGCTGTATCCTGGCTGTTCCCTGAGAACCTGATGCTTCTGCAGCCCCTTCGGGAAAAGCGTGGTCCTCAGGGTTGGGAGGCCCTCCCGCCCATCAGTCCTCGCGTTCCCTAGCATCACTTCGAGGCCCTGTGCAAGGTCCCTGTTCCTCTGAGACCGGCATCTCCCGACTTGCTGTCCTCTTAGTTGAAGATTTTGGGCTGGTTTAGAGCTTTTCTCCCTGTTCTAGTTCCTGCAGTGGTCCTTGGTGGCTTCATAGTCCACAAGGCTGGCCGATTCTGGTTGATCTCTTCATCCTTATCCTCGGTGACCTTACCTACTCCACCTCGGCCAACACTCAGCAGATTACATTCTGAACCATACCGATATTTGAAAATACCTTTCCTCTAAAAATCACTGATTTTTAAGCATCCTGCCTATTCTCAAACCCCCTTTTTCCTTATGTGCTTGTTTCTTGCTCTTCAGGACTTCTCGTTTATTGTCTCCTCACTTTCTTCCAGCTTGTCAATGACCTATCTCTACTTCTCTCCCAATCTTAGATTCTGTGATGGATTCAGTCATTTTCTACAATTACCCTCTACTCCCTTGCCTTTCTTTGCATCTACCCAGCAAAAGGCTGAATGGCAGTTCATAGTCCCCAGTCTTCGTTGGGCCCTCTGGACTTCTGGTAGGCTTAGTGCAATTCTCCCAGTCTCCATAATGACTATTTCAAACCATCTCCACTTTTCTCAGACCTCCAGCCCTGTTCCCTGCCCACAACTGTATTCACTGGGACTAACCCCACTTTGGCCCTTATTTCAGAGATAAAATATAGGCCATTAGATAGGAACACACCGAACCTACACACACCGAATAAGCCTCCATCTGCAGCTGTGTCCAGCCTTCCCTCTGGCAGTGGGAAAATGTCTCTCTTCTTATCAAAGGCTAAGAGTAATCCTTTACTTGTGTTCTAGAACCAGGGCTGTCTGGTAGAACTTTCTGTGATGCTGGAAATGTTCGGTATAATTGTGTTGTCCATTTTGGTAGCCACTAGCTACACATGGCTGTTAAGCATTTGAAACGTCACTACTGCAACTGAGTAAATTTTTTATTGTATTTAATGTTAATAACTTTAAAATTAAAAAGCTGCATGTGGTTAGTGGCTATGACATTGAGCAGTACACCATAGAGCCATTCATCTTAGCATTTCTGTGGAACCCCAGGATCCATTCTGTCCTCTCTTTCTGACTTCCCCAGCAGCAGTTAAACAGACTTTCATCTCAGGAAAACAGCAAACGTCGTACTCTTCATTTCTCTCGTCTTCTTTAGGGTCCAGTTCATTGAAAAGTTGCCCACCCCCCGCAACTCCCTTACCTTTCCCAGGTACTATGTTCCTCTCCACATTCTTCTCTCGTGCATCTTTCAACAGTCAAGCTTCTAAGAGTTGTCTTCTCTTTTATTATTTCTCATTTACTCCTGAACCTTTTGTCTGTCGCCATCACCATACGAGAACTATTCTTCCAAGTTCACCAGTGACTTCAGTGTTACTTAACCCAGTGGACCATGGGCAGCCCCGTGCCTCAGAGCTGTTTCTTCTGCCTGGAATTCATTTCCTTCCCACATAGATAGACCTGGCTAATTCCTGCTCACTTTCCCAGGAAAACATGCCCAGTCATTTCCGGGGAGCCCCAGACTACTAGGCTCCCTGGTTCCAAAGTTTCACAGCACCCTTTGCTTCTCCTTGGTAGCTCTTAGAACAAATGTAGTTAGATCATTACTTTTTTTTAGAGATCAAACAGTTTTTTCAAGATTACACACATAAGTACTGGAACCACTGTTTGAACCTGGGCAGTCTGGCTCCAGTGCTTACTCTTTTTTTTTTTTTATTGTTATGTTAATCACCATACATTACATCATTAGTTTTTGATGTAGTGTTCCATGATTCATTGTTTGTGCATAACACCCAGTGCTCCACGCAGAACATGCCCTCTTTAATACCCATCACCAGGCTAACCCATCCCCCCACGCTCCTTCGCTCTAGAACCCTCAGTTTGTTTTTCAGAGTCCATCGTCTCTCATGGTTCGTCTCCCCCTCCGACTTACTCCCCTTCATTCTTCCCCTCCTGCTATCTTCTTCTTTTTCTTTTTTTTTTTTTTTTTAAGATTTTATTTATTTATTTGAGAGAGAGAGAATGGGAGATAGAGAGCACGAGAGGGAAGAGGGTCAGAGGGAGAAGCAGACTCCCCGCTGAGCAGGGAGCCCGATGTGGGACTCGATCCCGGGACTCCAGGATCATGACCTGAGCCGAAGGCAGTCGCTTAACCAACTGAGCCACCCAGGCGCCCTCTTTTTTTTTTTTTTTTTAAGATTTTATTTATTTATTCATGAGAGACAGAGGGAGAGAGATTGAGAGAGAGAGAGAGAAGCAGAGGGAGAAGCAGGCTCCCAAGGAGCAGGGAGCCCGATGTGGGACTCGATCCCGGGACGCCGGGATCATGACCTGAGCTGAAGGCAGACACTTAACCATCTGAGCCACCCAGGCTCCCCTTTTTCTTTTTTCTTAACATATGTTTCATTATTTGTTTCAGAAGTACAGATCTGTGATTCAACAGTCTTGCACAATTTACAGCGCGCACCATAGCACATACCCTACCCAATGTCTATCACCCAGGCACCCCATCCCTCCCACCCCCCACCACTCCAGCAACACTCAGTTTGTTTCCTGAGATTAAGAATTCCTCATATCAGTGAGGTCATATGATACATGTCTTTCTCTGATTGACTTATTTCACTCAGCATAACACCCTCCAGTTCCATCCACGTTGTTGCAAATGGCAAGATCTCATTCCTTTTTATGGCTGCATAATATTCCATTGTGTATATATACCACATCTTCTTTTAGATCGTTACTTTTATAATTATTTGTTCAACCTCAGTCTAGGCCACACATGCTGTGGGCGCTGGGAGTGTATCAAGTTTCCTTGTACCTACAGGACCTGTCACAGTGGCTGTCACATAGGCAGAGACTTTACACCCTACTTACGTTGAAAGCACAAATAACCTCCCCCACCCCATCCAGATTTCAAGACCAAATCCCTATGGCACATGCACCAGAGTTATTTTTATTCTACTGTGAGCTACCTTATCAGTGCCTTATTTCTGAACCTCCAGAGAGCTCTGCTCCATTTCTTGTGATGCTCCTACAACACTGAATTCAATTCTATTATGTGAATGATCAGTAATTTATTCCTTTTATTAAGGTTATCAACATGGATTATGGAATGGAAGACAAGAATCCTATTGACCATGTTCGCTTCTATTGTAAGAGTGACCTCAGCAAAGCAGTCATGATAACTAAAGATCAGGTAACTACTTAGGTAAAACAAATAGACTGTAGTGGCATTTTGCAAATCTATGATAAATCTGCGTTTTACATGCAGATTAGGTCTTAAAGTCAATGTGTATAGTAAAATTTTTTTTAAAGATTATTTATTTATTTTTAAAGATTTTATTTATTTATTTGACAGAGACACAGCAAGAGAGGGAACGCAAGCAGGGGGAGTGGGAGAGGGAGAAGCAGGCCTCCCACGGAGCAGGAAGCCTGATGCAGGGCTCGATCCTGGGACCCTGGGATCATGACCTGAGCCGAAGGCAGACGCTTAACGACTGAGTCACCCAAGCGCCCCAAAAAAGAATTTTTTTTTTTTTAAGATTTTATTTATTTATTTGAGAGAGCGAGAATGAGAGAGAGAGAGCACATGAGAGGGGGGAGGGTCAGAGGGAGAAGCAGACTCCCTGCTGAGCGGGGAGCCCGATGTGGGACTCGATCCCGGGACTCCAGGATCACAACCTGAGCCGAAGGCAGTCGCTTAACCAACTGAGCCACCCAGGCGCCCAAAAAAGAATTATTTTTAAAATTAAAGTATATCTGGGGGCGCCTGGGTGGCTCATTTGGTTGAGCATTCGACTCTTGGTTTCAGCTCAGGTCATGGTCTTGGGGTCATGAGATCAAACCCCACATTGGGCTCTGTGTTCAGTTCAGAGTCTACTTGAATTTCTCTGCCTCTCCCTTTGTCCCTCCCCCCGCTCACATGTGCTCTCTCTCTCAAATAAATGAAAAAATAAAATCTTAAAAAAATTGGGGACCCTGGGTGGCTCAGTCGGATAAGTGTTTGCCTTCTCAGTTCATGATCCCAGGATCGTGGGATCAAACCCCATGTCGGGTTCCCTGCTAGTGGGGAGTTGGCTTCTTCCTCTCCCTCTGCCCCTTCCCCCCCCCCGCTTGTGCACTCGCTCTCAAATCTTCAAAAAGTCTTAAAAGACTTAAATATATCTGATTTTTGTGTAGACTAGACCATCTTAGCAGCCAGTTTTTCCTGTTTGCTGAAAATAAATGAAAGCACTGTTTTTGGTTTAGAGACTAGGTTATAAATCTGATGGGAAAAGTAGTGTTGTATGGTTGAAGTCATGAAAGTTAAATGTGCTTATTTGCATATCTTTCAGTGAGAGTCTGGTCTACATAAAATTACATGATACAAACTTTGAGTCTTTTATTGACATAAAATTGTGGGGCATTTTGCAGGATGACAACTACCTTGAATTCTTTTCTTTGGATGATAATTGGGATATAACAGCAAAACAGTGTAGTGTTTTTAAATAACATCAGGAAGGGAGCTGGGGCACTTGGGTGGCTCAGTCAATTAAGCATCTGACTTCAGCTCAGGTCATGATCCCAGGTTCCTGGGATCGTGCCCCATGTTGGGCTCTGTGCTCAGCGGGGAGTCTACTTGTCCCTCTCCCTGCTCGCTCACACTGTCTCTCAAATAAGTAAATAAGATCTCAAAAAAAAAAATAGAATGGAGCTTAGGAACAGCTAACCTCTCTTCAATGTATGAATTCAAGATGACAGTGAAATCTTTTCTTCTTTGAAAAGGTTTCAGAGCTTTTGCCAGAGAGATTTGCAGAGCAGCTAATTCGCGTATACTGCAAGAAGACCGATGCAAAGACCTTGTTTGCTGCACAACAACATTTTGTTCAATGGTGCTTAATCAGAGACTTCACCAAGCCTCAGGTGGGTGGTTTATTATTCACATGATTTGCACAATTTTTTATTTCTAAGTAAAAACTAAAAGAGATCTTACTTCCCTCTGAAAAGTTCTCATTTAAATGATAGTCACTTGATTATGGTTTTGGAAAAAAAAAGTTTTTCCAGTTTAAGCTTTCCTTTTAAAATGTCTGACTCTATGTCGACTAGTGATTTCTTCCTACACCAATTTTGAGTGGGTACTCTGTTTATCATTATTATCCTAATACTAAAAGTTCAAAATGATGAACATGTGATAATACTTTATAATGTTCTCACCAGTTGTCTGCAGTCCTCCCAGTTACCTGGGAAATGAGTCATAGTGTCCTCATCTTTCAGAGAAGGTTACCAAAGCTGAGTAAATTGTTTAAGGCTACATACAAGCTGATAATAAGTTTTCTAACTTATTATTTCAAATTCAGTATTCCCAAAACTGTGAACTATTTAAATTGTCTGGAATAAGACAATGGAGAAGAAGAGGAGCCAAGCTGTAGCTGACAATCCTATAGCGAATGTTGTTAAAGTTGTCCCTTACTGGCCTGGACATGGCAGGTGCCTGGCACAGAGAAAGTGGCCAGTCGATTATTTGTTGAGTGTCGGAATGAAATACTTGGCAGGCAGGTGGTAAGCTGCATTCTACTTCCTAGCCCAGGATGCTCTCCCACAACACCAGATCTGCCTTCCCCCAACCCCCATGCATTGGGTGCTGAAGGAAACAAAATGAAGGAGCAACCCGGTAGTCGGTACTTTATGAAGTGCCAGAAGGAGTGATACAGATGAGTTCTGTTAGGATTCTAAGAGTTAAGAGAGCTGTCAGGAAAGCCTTCTGAAGGAGAAGTGATTCTGCTGGGTCCAGAAGGCTGGATTACGTTTGAATGAGTAGCAGGGAGAAAGGTGGATGTAGTTCCTAGAGGAGTAATCCAGTGGCATGAAATTGGAACAAGTGGAGTGTGTTTGGGGGCCGTGAGGAGACCAGCTATGTAGACTCAAGAGTCCCTAGTGTTGAGTGGTGAGAGGTTGAATGGGAAGAATAGACTAGATTATGGAGAGCCTTGCATAATCAGCTAAGGAAGAAGACTTCTTATGAACAGTGGGGAGGGAACCATTGAGAGATTTCAAGAGTTTCCTTAGGTGCTGCCATCATTACTTACTTCTGCATTTGTTATCTCCAGCTAGAATAAGACCCATGGGGATGAGGAAGTTTGTCTGTCTTAGGTACTGTAGCACCTAAGGAAACTAAACCACTGATTAAGAAAGAAAACTAGCAGCAGATGGATTGGAACTTGGAGAGACTGGAAGTAGAGAGACAAGAGGCTGTTGAAGTTCAGCCATCTGGCAATAACTACTTTAAAACGACGATACATCCACTCATTGAATGAGGATTTTTGCCAGGTCCTATGTTAGGTACCAGAGATGGAACAGTACCTAAGACAGACATAGTTCCCACAGTCTTGTTGGGGCACACAAGTAAATAACAATTGTAGCGGTGTGGTAAGTGCTTTGGGGTAGGGCGCACAGAGTCTTAGTGGAGCCAAAAGGAGAAGGATTTAAGCCATAACTTGGTTGGTTGGGAAAGGCTTATTTTAAGGACTTAGAAGCTGAGACCTGAAGGATGGATGAGAAGGAGTCAGCTGGGTAAAGTCGATGGGGGGGGGAGGCCAGAAGATGGGCGAGAACATGGTGCCTTTAGGGGAGGGGTCCAGGGGATTTTGCATAGTCCTGTAGGCCAAGAGCAATGGAAGCCATTAAAGTGTTTTAAGCAGGAGAGTGACATTCAAGTTTGTATTTACAAAATTCACTAGAGTTGAAATTAGAATGGGTAGAAATAAGGACGCTTGTTAGAAATGGAGATGAGTTTAAAGGCAAATAATGTTGACTTTGAGCCGGAAGGGTCTTCCAAATTGGAATATCATTTATTGTAGGGGGGGACTAGGCAAGAGAGGAGCAGGGATCTAGTGAAGTCCCTCTTTTTCCTGGAAAAACAGACAGAGGGGCGCCTGGGTGGCTCAGTTAAATATGCGACTCTTGATTTTGGCTCAGATCATGATCTCAGGGTCATGAGATCGAGCCCCATGTTGGGCTTTGCGCTCGGTGTGGGGCCTGCTTAAGATTCTGTCTCTCCCTCTGCCCCTCCCCACCCCTCTCTCCCTAAAAAAAATAGAATAATATAAAAAAATAAGAGCAATTGGTATTTTCAAAAAAAGAAAGGCAGAGTTTGTGTTTCATGAAAAGTGTATGAAGGAAGAGGAGTCAGAACTCTGCGGTGTCCTGCTCCTGGCCGTCTTTGAAAAGAATAGGTCTGATAGCTTTTCCTACAAAGGCTCTTACCTGCTCAGGGCTGTGGTGTTTCTAATTTGGCCCAAGCACAGGGCATATATGTAATTTAGGGTTTCCCAAGAGTAAGTATGTCTAGAAGCAATCTATCTGCAAGACAAGGGTAGGTGCACATGAGGATTTCACTCAAAGGTATGAAAACTGGCTTTTCTTTGTTCCCGGTTTTTCTTTCCTTGACAGGATGGTGACGTTGTAGCCCCTCTTATAACACCTCGAAAAATGGAGTGGAATAACGCGAATTCAGCCCAGAGCCCAGATCACTTCCAGAAAGTGTCCAGATCTAGACAGTGGCTTTTTCCGGATGACTCAGTGTAAATGTTTGCAACCAGTTGTTTACATAAAGCCTTCTTCCTTGTCCCCCAGCAATATTAACTAATGTAGGGAATTTGGTCGTGGAGTTCTACAAGTTTAGTGATAACTAGTGCTTTTTATATTTTGAATGTACACACATGCTGAAGCTAAGTAATTTTTATCCAAAGAAACAAAAAGGTATTAGGCAAATCTTGCTATACATGCTATGGAAATTGTTACCTTGTCTATTTTAACTGTAACTAAATTCTTTCTGTAGTAGTCTTATTTTCTTAGAATAACAAAAAAAAAAATTAGGTACTCTGAACTCTTATGACAAATGATTGTTCTTTTAAAAAAAAAAATGTTTAGAAATGAGAGAAGGTGCACAGAGGAATTTGAAGTTGGGACTGTCATAAACAGCCATGGTTAAGAACGAAACATAAAAGCCTAGCCCCTTGAGGGAGGTACCCATCACCTCGAATTTGAGGACAATTCTTCTTAAGTGATCTGAATGTTAGCGAAAGACCTTTCCTCACCCTCTTACCCAGGTTGGACTAAACAGTAGGAAATGAGGGCCGGGAGTGAGCTCCAACTCCTGAGTAAGAGGCATGATTAATTTTTTGAAAAGGTCCGAGGGCTCTGGCCTTCTCTGGAGTGGGACATAAAACTGCCTCTGAGGAGGCTGTTCCCTGGGTCAGTTGCAGCCCCAGACCTGGGCAGTTTCTTTCTCCTGAATACTCACTGTCCATGTCCCAAGGTCTTTTTCACTATCACTGCTCAGCCTGGAGAAGGGTCCCCTCCGACCTTCTGTCTGAATTTCCCTAGTAAGCTGATCAGGGTCACAGGAGCCATTCTTGGGGCTACTCAGAGCTGGGACTTTGTTTTTGCTGGTTCAGTGGGCATTTTATGGGTTTCAGAGCAAAGACTGAGCTGCCTGGGATGAGATGAGTGATTATCCCGAGAATTCCAAGTTCCCCTCTGTGGCCCAGTATTCCCCACTCTTGATCTTTACGTCCTGCAGTGGAGTAGGCACCACTGTGGTTGAGCAGTTCTGTGCAGAGGGCCCCCACCCCCACCTCCATATACACACAATTGCCAGTTCTACAGAACTTCACCAAGAATAAAGTCCGGAGTTAGAGCCAGAGCTGGCGGTAGCCAGAGGGTCCTGTAGATGCAGGGCAGTGGGGAATGGGAGTCATGAGCCCTTAACATCGCTTTGACACTCCCTTACAAAAGCCTCCATGGCAGGCCGGGATTGGGGGGCCAGGCCTGGCTCCGGGCAAGAGCAAGTGGGAGGAAGGAAGGAACTCAGACTATAGGCAGCAGATTATCTACAGTCTTAGGAATGCTGCTACCTTCTACTGTGTAACCAAGTTCTGTTCTGTTAACACTAGGCTGAAAAGTATTAGAGATGTCTGCCATTCTGTATAACCACCACCACCCTCCTCCATCCCCCAGTAGATGATCAAGAGTTGACCCTAATTCATAGGAGAATAATTAAAACCCTTCCCACTTCCACCATAATGCTGTGTGGGTGAGGATGTGTCCATATGTGGGCTCCTAGAAGCACAAGTGAAGTCAGCCATGGGACTGAGTCATATCTGTGTTGGCCGAGGTACCTCTGAAACATTCGGTGGGGAGAACTGTAGGGCTCAGACTTAGTGTATCCAGACTCAAGGTCAAGAATGTAATGTTTTTCTGCTAAGATTGTTTTATTTCTGCAACTCCTGTCTTTAAGTCATTGTGGTTTACTCTGGAATTTTATGGTTTCAACATTGTATCATTGTGCTATCTGAGAAATAACTTGAATCAACTTTGTTTGCACCCTTTACATATAATTCAGCTGCACTTTATGCTCTTTGCAACTGTTTTAATTATCAGAACCATGTGCCATTTACAAGGTTAAATTTTTCTTAACAAACACCTTCACTATTTGTATAAAAACTGAGATTTTAACAACTTAACCTCTAGAGTTACTGAACTGTTGTCACCTTGAGAATGTAAGAAAAATGATTTGTTTCTTCGTTTGGGTGAGGAAAATAGCTGCAATAAAGCTTCATGAATGTATCTCCATCTTGAAACCGAAGGTGTTTTCCTTAATGACGTCCTCTCACACGTGTGTGCCCAGTCTGCACTCTGTTCTGCAAATGAAATGTGTCTAGGAATCTACCCAGATGCGTCTATGTCAACGCTATGTTTGGTTTGCAAGAGAGAGGATGATATTTAACAGGACTTATGTTATTTGGTTTTCTGACAGGAGGCAGGCATTGTCATGGGATGGGATATGGATGTCTCTTCATTTCCTGAGCTCTTGTGTTAGGAAACATATCTTTCCTCCTTTTTAACCTGCCCTAGGTTCCCATCTACAGAGATTCAACTGCTTTATCCAAATAGGCATATTGTTCATTTGCTGCTTTCATATCTTCCTTGTGAAATTAGAGATTTGCGAGCACCCCATATGCTGGTGGCCGACAGGAAGCCCTCAATGTTCTAGAAAAAGAAAGATGCTACTGGAGTCTTTATTAGTTTCACCAGTTGAGCCCAGGTGTCTGTGGTTCGACAGTATGAAGTTAAAATGATTTCTAAAACATCCAGAATAGAATATATATATCTCCATGGAAAATTGTCTAGAAGGATGTATATGAAAATGAAAATGTTAGTGTTTTGGGGGAGTGGTTGAATTTTAGGCAATTTTAATTTTTTTTAAAGTGTTCTGTTTTTTTCTACAGTCAACATGTTTTAGTTGTATAATTTCTAAAAAGAAATTTCAGGGGGGCGCCTGGCTGGCTCAGTTGGTGGAGCATGGGACTCTTGATCTCAGGGTCATGAGTTTGAACCCCCTGCTGGGCATGGAGCCTACTTTAAAAAATAAAGAAATGTCATGAGGGTCTTTGTGCTGCTCAGATGAGGTGTGAGCACCTTTCACTCCAGAGTCACCTGTCCTGGAGAACACTGCTTGCTTCCAGGACTGTCTCGGGTCCCCAGGCCACAGGGAGGTTTGGTCACAGCCATAGTCATCCAGGTTTTGGAGAAAATGGGCAGCCCTCTCTAAGAAGGGTCTAGATGGTGTTCATGAGCAGGTCCAAGAATTTGTTGTTTCAGAAAGCTGCATCAGCTCAGGACCCAGGCCTCCAGCTCCTTGATGCAGAACTGCTCTTGCCGGGCCAGCACCTCATTATTGAAGGTTGCACAAGGGTGGCTTCCCCCATGGTACAAGTCTCCATCCAACCACAGCCCAAACTGGCCACTAAAGAGAAGAGGAAAATCTTGGCATGACTCACTCCTGGATATTGGCCTTCCAGGTCTACACCATCAGCCTTTGGCCTCACCATGACCACAGCTCAGTTTTGCCTGTTTCATCTTCCCTTAAACTGATTTATATCCAGAATTGTTGGGAACTCCACATGTTGTTCCCCATAGGATTTGGAGCATTTTTTTTTATAGTTAAATGATTTTAATAAATATATACAGTGGTGCACCACTGTCCACAGTCCAGTTTTAGAACATATGGAACATTTTAAAGATGGCAATGCTTAACCAAAGGAGTGAATCTTAAGGCATGGACTCAGCCCAAAACACTTCAGAAAGCATCCATTCTGATCCCCTCATTGGACAGCAAACCAGGCTGGGGCTGGGAAGTGGGTTACTGCAAATCAGCAATGGCTTGTATGTTCTGTGCCAAACTGTCTCAGTAGGGGCTCTTCAGGGAGCTGGGAGGGCAAAGAACTTGCCTGGTACTAGTCAAACACCGTTTTCATCTTTGCCCTCAAGATAAGATTTATTCTGCCTGAATTTGGAGGTCTCACCAGGAGTAAGGCTTTTTATTCCTAACCCACTCATCCCTCCAAAACACACACACACACACACACACACACACACGTTTCCTGGGCAGATGCCTGCCTTCCTCCAGTGAGTTATGTTCCCTGATCTAGCCTCCCATCCCTTGACTCTAGCCTCATCCAACCATGCAGAATGCTGTTCCCCAAATCACATGCATTCAGACTAAGCTGTCATCAACTGTAAACACTTTGGAGGGTAGTCCATGCCATTCTACCCCCTCGGTGTTTAGAGGAGGCTTGAGGGGTTTGGCTGGGGGACTAGGCAACACCTGGGCCATGTTGAAGGGAAAGGTCTGGAAGTTCACCACCAGCTTCATCTTATCTGGGGCAGCCCTAGCCCAGCATTTCCGGATGGGGGAGGGACCAGAACACAGACTACCCCAAAACTCCAGACCCTGGGAGGACTGAGACACGCACCTGCTGCTGCCCATCATCAGTGAATCCAAGTCTCCTTTCACAAAGAAAGAGTTGCTTCCTGTCCACTTAAAGACCTGGGGTAACAGGAGAAAAGCTGGGTTACTGCGGGGAGTCCTGCCCTTGCAGTTTGACTCCACACCACTGGGTGGCAGTGTCGTAGAGGGAACGGAACATCCAGGCCCAAGCCCCACCTAAGCGTCCGGAAGTACCCTGGCCCCTGAGGAGATTTCTTTCCATTCTCCCCGGATTTCATCTCCTCTTGCCTTCCAGTCTCAGTTCCCACAACCCAAAACCCCCCTGTTCTAGAAACAGACGAGAAGTCTATAGCATCCTGCTTGCAAAGCTGGAGAGAGGAGGGGGAAGTTCCTGGTCAGGAGCTGGGCCCTGATTCTGCCATGAGCTGTTTCCTCCTCTCTCCCTGGAGCCTACCCACTTCCCCACACTGCCTCATACTCCGTTCCTTAGCAGGTCTTGGCCCCACCCCAAAGACACAGCCAGACTACCCCCATTTCTGTCACATCTATCTCCACTTGTGCCCACCCAATCCCCACCACAGTCACTCCTTGCTGCTCACAGCTTACCTGTCCCTGCTTCCAGTCACCTGCCCACAGCCCATCTCAGCTCTGCCTTGTGATCAATATTACCATTCCTCTGCCTAAAGCCCTCCGAGGGCTCCCCGCTGCCATCCTGCTGCAATGGGAATACAATCCAATTGCTCACTCTAGCCAGAAGCCCAGCCTGCTCTGACCGCTGCTTTCCTCTCTGACCTCTTCACCCCCTTACTGACTTCACTTCAGCTACCCTGGCCTTGCTGTCCCTGGGACACCCAAAGCGATTCCTGCTTGAGGACCTTCGCACTTGCTGATCCCTCTACTGAGGCTGCTCTTCCCCCAGATCCTGAAATGGCCCACTTCTCATCTTTCAGCCCAAATGTCATCCCAGAAAAGTTTCCTGGGGCACCCTGTCTAAAGTAGCCCTTCTTCCCAGGCCCTGTTTCCTTTTCCTCAGCATTTAGCACTCTTTGAGATGACCCTGTTCATGTGCCAATGTGCTGTTCCTTACTCCACTACCGTGTAAGGTCTGTGAGGGCGGTCTTGATTCCCAGCAATATTCCCAAGGCATGGTATAGATGTCTGTTGAATGAATAAATTATTCAAGAGTCAATTGGGCTAATAAAAACATTTCTAGAAGGCCATGAATGTATAGCATATTACTGCCTGTAATTAGTTGTTTTAAAAAAAAATGCTGTGAGCAGCCAAAGGGTTTTTAGCAAGAAAACAGACTAATAAAATAAACCCTGGGCTCAGAAGAGATAAGATAATATTAACAAGTGACCATGAAAAGACAGAACCATTCAATTCCTGCTCTACTTTCATCGAAGAATGTGACGTTCAGACTTGAAGGAGTAAGATAAATATTGCTACGGAAGAAACGAAGACCCTGTTCATGGTGCTATTTGGAATCACCATCAAGGAGCCACTGAGAATTCATAAAGAACACAAGAGGTGTCAAAAGACCAAAGACAGGCAAAGATTACCCAATTAAAAACAAAAACAAAAAACAAAACAAAAAAAACAAGATTCCATAATGGGGGCTGGGAAGACAGCCCCTCTAAAAATAATTCATCTCATTCAACAATTTTTCAAATTTTTTAAAATTTTATTCATTCATTTACTTAATTATTTTTAGCATTTAGTACCAGTCACTGTTTTATGTACTGGGTGGAATGGTGAATGTAATAGACAAAAATTCCTGCCTTCATGGGACTCCCATTCTAGTAGGTGGAGGCAGGTAACTAAGTAAAATAAATAGACTGTTAGGTGGTGACAAATGCTAAGGATAAAAAAGTAGAGAAGGACAAGAAGGGTTTTCAAAGAATGGAATGTTATAAATTTAAATTAGTTGGTCACAGAGGGCCTCTCTGTGATGGTGACATTTGAGCAGAATCCTGAAGGAGGTGAGACCTGAGCCATGTGGTGATCCAGTAGAAGGCAGTCTAGGCAGAACAGCATATGCAAAGGCCCTGAGGTAGGAGCAGGCCTGCATGTTTAATGGCCAGCTCAGAGCTCACTGTGGCTAGAGCAGAGTGAGGGAAAGGAAGAATAACAAGAAACAACATAAGAGAGAGGCCAGAAGATGTAGGGCCTTGTAGGTTGTTATATATATTTTTAAGATTTCATTTATTTATCTGAGAGAGAGGTAGCAAGAGAGAGCACAACCGGTGGGGCGGGGTGCCTGGTGGTGGGAAGAGGGAGAAGCAGGCTCACCACTGAGCAGGGAGCCTGATGCAGGGCTCGATCCCAGGACCCCGAGATCATCACCCAAGCCAAAGGCAGATAGTTAACCAAGTGAGGTTAAGGCCTGAGCCACCCAGGCACACAGGCCTTGTAGGTTATTATAAAGACTGGCTTTTCTCCAAGAAAGAAAGCCATTGGCAGCTTGGAGCCAAGGAATGACATGCTATAACTTACCTTTTAAAAGGAACACTCTAGCTATTGGGATGACTGAGGTGGAAGCAGGAAGACCCTTTGGGAGGAGGGTGTAGCAGGAACACGGACAAATAATGATGCTGGCTTGAACCAGGTGACAGCAAAGGACGTGGTGAGAAGTCATGGGTTCTGGATATAGATAGAGAAGGCAGAGCCATCAGGATTCATTGACAACTCAGGTGTAGGGTGTGACAGAAAGGAATCAAAGACCCCAAAATTTTTGGTCTCAGCAGTAGGAAAGATGTAGGTGCCATTAACTTCATTGGGGAAGATGGGCAGGAGGAGCAGATTTGGGGGCAAAGTCAGGAGCTCGGTTTGGGACCTGTGAGGCTTGAAATGCCAGGCTTGAGATCCAAGCAGCAACTCTTGATAGTAGTTGGGTATATGTCAGTTTCAAGTTCAGGGGTAGAGGCCATCAGCACGAGACCTTGGAAAAAATGAGGGTAGAGAAGAGACAAGAACCAAAAATTTTGCTCTGGGACCCTCTGATGTCAAAAGGTTGGGGAGGTGAGGAGGAACCAGCAAAGGATTCTGCCAAGGAGTAGTCAGTGTAGTAGGAGGAAAATCCGAGGACTTTAGAATTCTAGCATGTGAATAGAGGAAAGCAAGTGGTAATTAGAATCCAGCATGGGTTTACTAGAACAACGGACCCCTTTCCTGTTTCCTGAAAAGATTACCAGGCTGGCTGATGGAGACAATGCAATAGATAGATACCTTGTGTTTTGCTTTTAGCAAGGAGTCCATAGCTCCTTGTGACCTCCTTGTCATGGGACCGCATAATTGTGTGGCTGAGTATATCTGTAGGTTCGTGGTCCATGCATTGGAGGGGAGGTCTCTCATAGCAAACAAAAACACCTGGGACTAGTTCTTCATCCGTTGAACAAGTATATCGTGAGGGCATGCTCTGGCAGTGCAGACACACTCTGACCCCCTACCCATTCATCTCTTGGGTTCCTAAATGGGCACTCTCTCCTTTCCAATTACTGTGCCTTTGCACATGCTCCAAGAAGACTGCTCCCCATGCCCTTCATCACCTGGTGATCTTGTTTGTCCATCAAGATCCAACTCAAGAAGCTCCTCCTCTAGGAAGTCTCCTTTGATCTCCCCACTCCCGTTTGATAGAGGTGCTCTTCCTTGTGGTTTCTTCCACAGCCCTTATCGCTCTATATTGTGATCGCCTCTCTTTTGCAAGCCCGAGAGCATCTCCGTCATTTAGAGGGGTAGCCTAGCGCCATGGCTGAGTTCAAGCCCCAGGGCCTGTTTCTGCATCTCATCCTCGCCACTGACTAGCAAGTCACTCAATCTCTCTGTGCCTCCGTTTCCTCAACTGTTAAGCGGGGCCAATAATAGTATGTCCCTCAGAGGAATGTTGTCATGATTAAATGCGCTAATTTGTGAACGTCTCAGAATAGTGCCTGGCAGGTGGTACATTAGTACCCAGTTAGCTGCTACTATTTATATGAGTAGTAAAAGTAGTGCGCTTCGTGCCAAGCCTGCAGTGCTCAGTCGTTTTATTCAATAAATAGCTCAGAGATGGAAAAGTTTTACATGGGAGATGTTGGCGACTGACCATCCCCCTCCCTCCTTCAAAAGCCCTGCTCTCCAGCAGCAAGTACCCTCTGACTCCACCAGTCTTGTCTCTGTCACTCACCCATCTCCTAGTCACCAGTCACCACGAATTAGAGGCTTGAGCTCTGTCCCACCCTCCTCCCCTCCTCCCTCATTCCTGCTAGTGTCCTCGGTGAACTTCGCCGTCCGCACGGACCCATCCCGTGCCCGCCCTCAGCGCCCTTCCTTTGCCAGTACCGGAGACTTCTTACCCCCACCTCAGCCACTGTCCCCTCTGTTCACACCCAGGAACCTGTCCTTCCCGGTCTGTTTCCAATGGCCCTCTCTCTCGGATCTTATATTCCAACACGTGGCTCGACTGGTGTCCTTGCTCCGAGTCTCTGACCACAAGGCCACCTCTCAACGGTTGTTTTCATCTTCGTCTTATTGTCCTTCAGCCTCCCTGGCTGCCCTTCCCCACGGGTCCAGACTAGGTTCTGTGGTCCATTTTACGTTCCCACTCCCTTCAGCTTCCGCTTCCCTCTCTCTCTCTCGGTCACACCACCTTGGCGGAAGCCCCATCCTGGAGGAGCCCTCCCAGCTACACTCTGCACGCCGGAACCCAAGGAGCCGAATGTAGCTGGCGGAAAAACACCAGGGGACTAGATTGCCTTTAAGCTGACGCTCCCCACTTGCAGTTCACGCTGCCTAGCTGTCCTTCTGTTTCTCTGGTTCTCTCCGGTAGGCCTCCCTCTCCACTCCCGTAAGGACGATTTGACACCTTCCCTCTGCTCAGTCTGTACGCTCTCTCCGCCAACCTCACCCTTAGCCGATGACCTCAGCCCACACTTCCTAAGAAGACTGAAGTCACTGGATGTGTCTGTCTTCCTCTCCCACCTGTGCACCCACAGATCTACTTGCACTCGGACCCATCTTGTCTTTGCAGCCTGCATCGGGTGAGCAACACCGCTCTTCCTTTATGAGCCAGTCTGTGGTGGCCAGGGACCTCCTGAGCACTGTAAGAAATGAAGATGAACAGGGCCAAGGAGGATGCGCTGCCCACCACTGGCCTGTCCCACTCCCTTTGTGGAAAGATGGAGGAATACCAGGCACCCTGGCATGGGGATAGAGCTAGGGGCCACTGGGGCCTCAGGATCTTTGTCATAGCCCTCCTCCCTCCTCCCTAGAAGGCTGGGAACATCACCTTTAGCTGTGGGGAGAAGGAGAAGAGGAATGTCTCTCCGGTACCATAGAAGCCTTTGCTGAGTCGAATGGCTGAGGAAGAGAAGGCTCCAAACATCTGAAAAGCAGAGGAGCTTGCTGCGGCAGCTCGCGGGGAGAGGAGGCAACCCCACTCTCCAGGCTTGGTAATATAGGCTCACCTAGCCGGGCGGGGAGGCTGGGACAGAGCTGGGGGGCGGGGAGGGCCGCATGGGCCCATCAACATGTACCCTTTCCCTTAACACTCCCCAAGGAAGAACTCTTGCTGGCGTCTTCCTACTTTTTCTTAAACGTACCTATTTTGTAAAAGTAATCCTTGTAGAAAAGTATTAGAAGTTATAGACAAGCAGAAAGAGAAACTAAAGCCATATTCCAATTCCCCCTTCTGCTCCCCAAGGTAACTATTCTTAACGTTTTGGTGCATTTCCTTCCAGCATCTGTTTAATGCCAGTGTATATGTTCTTATGCAGAAAACCAGATCCTATAGTACATCTGTATTGTTGTTTTTGTTTTTTAAGTTTTACTTATTTAAGTAATCTCTACACCCAAGGTGGGGCTCAAACTCACGACCCTGAGATCAAGAGTTGCATGCTCTTCCAACTGAACCAGCCAGGTGCCCCGTACCTGTGTTTTGTAAGCTGCCTCCCCCCTTCACTTTTCTTTATAAAAGTTCAAACACACAGAAAAGTAAAATTAGGGTACAGATACCCTCCATGTGTATTCAAAATCGTGAATGTGTTCGCCATGTTCACTTTCTCTCTCCTTATATTTTTTGGTGTTCTGTTTGAAAGTAGGTTGCAGATATTATAACCCTTTTACCCCTAAATGGTTCAGCTCCTAAGAACGGGGATTTTCTCATGTATGACCACAATACTATCATCTCACCTAAGAAAATTAACAGCAATTCCATAATGTTATCTAGTATCTAGTTCATAATACATTTTCTCCATTGGCCCAAGAGTGCCTTTCATATCCTGCTTTAAGAAAAAAAACTTGGGGCGCCTGCCAGCTCAGTCGGGGGAGCATGCAACTCTTGATCTCAGGGTTGTGAGGTCAAGCCCCACGTTGGGTGTAGAGATTACTTAAAAAAGATAAAAATAAAGTCTTAAATAAATAAATAAAAATAATAAAAACAACACTTTTAGTGGCTATGGCTCTACATCATTTTTTCCAGTTCTTGGTAATATTTCACTATGTCGCAGAACCATAGTTCACTTAGCCATCTTCTCCTGTGGGATAGTTGGTGGACTGCAGGTTTTCCCTCTTATACCGAGTGTTGAGGGGCAGAGGCAGGACCACTGGGAGGCAGCCATGGGGAGTAGGTTTTGGCTTAATATAAGGAGTCACTTCCTCATAGTCAGCAACATTCTGCCAAGGAAGGGGCTCCATCCTGAGGAAGTGAGCTCCGTGGCCTTGAGGTGGAAGGCCCTTAATTGGCATCTTTTTTTTTAAATTTTTTAAAGATTTTATTTATTTATTCGAGAGAGAGAATGAGAGACAGAGAGCACGAGAGGGAAGAGGGTCAGAGGGAGAAGCAAACTCCCCGCTGAGCAGGGAGCCCGATGCGGGACTCGATCCCAGGACTCCAGGATCGTGACCTGAGCTGAAGGCAGTCGCTTAACCAACTGAGTCACCCAGGCGCCCCTTTGATTGGCATCTTGAGGATGGAAGGAGCTCCTGCCCACGTGAGGGTCCTCAGGGGCCCTCGAGATCTCTCCCAGCTCTAACATGTTCCTCCCATGGAAGAGCACTTGAAACCAGCACTTCCCCACCTCCCCTGGCCCCTGTCTAGAGGGCCTGGCAGAACACCCCCCCCCCCCCGTTGGCGAGACTACAGGGATCTGAGACAGCGCCTTCCCAAGGTCTGTGGCTACCTCCTCAAAGCCAGCTTTCACTCTTAGCCCCTAACCAACCAGGGGATGTTTTCAAAGCATCAACGGATCATGAAGGTACAGCTCCTCCACTTAAGATGTCCCTCCAGTTATTTATTTGCTTCACCTCTGGCCCGCCCCCCCATTAGGCCTGTAGCTCCAAGAGGGCTGGAACCACTTCTGCCTGGACCTTGCTCTTGTCCACATCTAAGCTCGCACATAGACGGTGCTTAATGTACATGTGTTGAATGGATGAATTAGGGGATGAAGGAAGGAATGGCTCTGAACGGGGGAGTTCTCTATGTCATCATCATTGTCCCTTACAAGTGATGGGTGATCACCTCTGCCTCCCGCCCCTGAGGCTGCCCTGGGGCAGGGCCTGCTGGTGTGTGGTTGGGCACCCCCAGGGCTTCAGGCTGGGGCCCCGGGCCCAGCTCACCTGGCCATCCTGGTCCCTCAGCACCAGCAGCACCGGCCCACTGTGGCCTTCCATCTGCCTGTACAGGCTCCGCAGGCTGAAGCCATCTCTCGACGTGCAGAAGGCCAGGCTCCAGGGATGTCCGGTGACTCGTGGCGGGAGGTGGAGGCTGAGCTAAGGACAGGGCTGGAGGTAAGCAAGGACCCTCGCCCTTCCCCGCTCCTTCCACCCTATCCTCAGGGTCCCAGAAGGACTAAAGTTGGACAGGCCCCGCTCATACAAGCATGGTGCTTTATGGGTGCCATCGGAGTTTACTGTTCCAAGGGCCCCTTAGAGAGGGATTATTATTCCCATTATATGGTTGAAGAAAATGAGGCTCAGGGAGGTGAAGCCACTTGCCTAAAGCCCACACGGGGAGTAAGTGGCAGAGCCAGGATTTGAACCAAGGTCAGGTCTCCCTCAGGACTCTCTCCCCTTGGTCACCTTGGTCCCTAGAGGCTGGAGAATACATGAGATGCTGAATCCCTCCCCCAATCCTTCCTACCTCATCCTTCCACCCGCCCCCCCCAGCTTTGGGACATAGCCGGAGTGACCCCAGGTGTCCCTGGACCTGGCTGGGGTAGGGCAGGAGGGTGGGGCTGAGGCTCCTGGCACTGTGCCCGAACCTGCTTAATCTCCGAGGCTCCTAGAACCTGGCTGGCTTCTGCCAGTTGGGGTCCCACGGGATCTTCCGGAGCAGGAGCTGAGACGGGGGCTGGGGCTGGGGCTGTCTCCCCTTCCTCCTCCTCACCCTCCTCCGCAGACAGAGCGTCCTCCACCTGGCTGGGCTGTGAAGACACCAAGAGGGACAAGGAGACATCGGCTTCCATGTCTCCAGAGCCCAAGAGCCTTGGCTGCCTCATCACCCTTGCTTAGGCCCCTGCCACCACCACCCACCCCCTGCCTGTGACCGGCTCCCACCCTGGCCCCTGCCAGCCGAAGGTCAGAGGTACACATGCCCATCAGATGTGGCCATGGACTCTGTGGTTTGTCTGCCTGCCTGCTCTAGATCCAGAGTGGGTGCCAAGGATCAAGTTCTAAGCTCAGGGGCAGGAGAGAAGGCAGGAGGCAGCCCGGCCCGGCCCAGCCTTGCGAGCTGTGACCCTGTGTGTCTGCACCCAAAACAATAATACTACTATCAATAAGCATAACAATAACAATACCGATAGTGGCCGATGTTGGTCAGCACACCCTTGACCAGGCCTGGCCGAGTGCTCGCTGTGCATGATCTCTCTGTATTTTCCCAAGAATCCTAAGAATGTTGTCCTTACTATCCTTATTTTACAAAGAAAAGAAATGAGGGCCAGAGGCTTCCCTGTCAGCCAGGGAGACAGTGCGTGGAGCGGCTGAGAAAGCACGTGCAGGTTTGTGTAAGATGTGTGTTCATCCATGCGAAGGTGTGTATCAGCTTAAAATAGACTTGTGTTGGCAAATCAGTGTGAGAAGGTGTTGAGTAACTTCGTCTGTTTACCTGTCAGCATGTTTGTGAGTGTGAGTTGGGACTGTACAAATATGTGTGTGTGTCAGTGTGGATGTGTCTTGGTTTATGCATTCATTCAGTTGAGCTTCCACTCTGGTCCAGAGTGTATGTTTGAGGGTATGTGCGTGTGTGTGTGTGCGTGCGTGTGTACACATGCACCTGCGCACAATGACTTGGGGACTTTTCATAAGGAGAGGTTCCTCCAGGATGAGAAATGACCAGGACACTGCTTTTCTGTTACCCAGGTTCAGGCCTAAGGAAGGGGTCCTAGCTGCATGGGGCTTCTGGACAGAGCTCCATCTGGCTGGACAGCGATCTATGCTTGTTAGGGTCTCAGGACCATGGGGTTGGGGCCCCGGGGTTCCTGAACTCTGAACTCTAGGCAGGCTGGAGAGGGATTTGGAAGGGAACAAAGCTCCGGCCTGCCTCCAGTCCTAGCCCAGACCCCACCCTGCCAGAGATCTGGCCTCCCCCACCTTTGCTGACCTGACTCCCCAGCCCAAGCTGGGCCCCTTACCAGCCGAGTGTAACGCCAGCGACCTTTCATTCTGTCCAGGGCCTGAGGCTGGTAGTGAGAGTCCTCAGCCCTCCCAGGGGGAGGGAGTACTGCAAGCGGGCGGGCAAGGCCTAGATATGAGAGAGAGAGGCCTGGGGCACACCCTGCTAGCTCCAGGCCACCTAGCTGCCCTTTGCTCTCTCTCTCCCGTCACTCCCAGGACTAATCGTCACTGGGTAGGTCTGTGAGGTCAGCTACCCTCCGCATTCAAAGCCTCACTTGGAGTTAGCAACTAACAGGCATTAAATTCACCCAGTAATTCTAGCTGATTCCCTTCCATCTCCCTACCTTCTAGAAGATTGGCCTAGGGATTCTGGCCCTTTGGGCAGATGCCTGAGCTCCAGGCTGGGGTTCCGGAGTCTCTGGTTCTCTCTCTGACCTTGGGTAAGTCCCTTGCACCCTTGGGCTTGTTTTCCCACATGAAACATGTTGGACGAGTTCATCTCAGAGGCCCTAACAATACTGACTGCAGGCAACTCAGTTCCCTCTGTATTACAACAGAAGCTCGAAAGGAGCCAAGCCTAAACCAAAAGAACAACAAATGAACAAAATCTTCATTTTTTAAAAAAAATCTTCATTTTTCTAATTTAAAAAGTAAGGCCTGTATATTATAGAAAGTTTGAGGAATCTAGAAAAGAATAAAGAAAGATACAAAAATATTCATGATTTCATCTCTCAGAGATAAGCTTTCAACCCTTAAGTGTATTTTTTCCAGTCTTTTTCATTTGTTTAATATATATACGCATATTTTTATAAATAGATCATACCATGTATAATTTTATAAAGTGCCTTTTCCACTTAAAAATGAGAATTTTCCAGTGACATTCAGCACCCTTTGAACACATGATTTTTAATGGTTACATATTATTTCATCATAAGATGTATCATTTATTCCTCAACTGTTGGACATTTTGTTTGCTTCTAATTTTCTGTGATTATAAGCAAAACTGTAGTGAAATTCCCTGCTCATAAATCTGATTATATCCTTTATGATAAATTTCAAAAGTTGAATGCTGAAATCAAAAGTCATACACATAGTTCTTTTTTTTTTTTAAACTAATTTCTACACCCATCGTGGGGCTCTAACTCACGACCCTGAGCTCAAGTGTTGCATGATCCTCTGACTGAGCCAGCCAGGCACTCCCATATAGTTCTTTTTTCTTTTTTTTTAAGATTTTGTTTATTTATTTGAGAGAGAGAGAGAGAGTGAGCACGAGCAGGAGGAGGGGCAGAGGGAGAGGGAGAGGGACAAGCAGACTTCCCTCTAAGCGGGGAGCCTGACGTGGGGCTCGATTCCAGGACCCCAAGACCATGACTGGAGCCAAAGTCAGACGCTTAACAGCCTGAGCCACCCTGGCACCCCCATAGTTCTTGATAATGTTTCCAACAAGGCTTCCCGGTGCTTAAAGCTGACCCATCTCAAGGTATCTTTAGTAAATCTCAGGGTAATATATTTCTGATCATCAAGTTTTATAACCTTAAATTACAGATAAGGAAATGACCCCTCAGAAAGTGGAAGAGACTAACCACAGCCCCACTAGTATAACACGGTGGTGACGAGTACAGGCTCTGGAGTCAGGGAGTTCAAATCCTGGTTTTGCCACTTCCTTGCCATGTGACCTTGGGCAAGTTACTTAACATCTCTGTGCTTCAGTCTCCTCTTCAGTAAAATACTAATATCCACCTCATAGGGCTGTTGTAAGGGTAAAAGAAGATAATGCCTGGGGCACCTGGGTGGCTCAGTCGGTTAGGTGTCCAGCTCTTGGTTTCGGCTCAGGTCGTGATGTCATGGATGGAGTCCTGCTCAGTGGGGAGTCTGCTTGAAGATGCTCTCCCTCCGCCCCTCTCCCCACTCGTGCATGCGTGCACTCTCTCTCTTCCAAATAAATAAATAAATAAATAAATCTTTAAAAAAAAGATAATGCCTGAAGAACTAGGATGCCAAGCCCAGTCTCCATCCTTCTGTTATCAATTCGATGAGATAACCCAGAGCACCTGGGGTTTGATGAGCAGTGGGTAAATGACAGTGCTTGCTGCTATCCACCCCCACACACTGCCTCTGAGAAATCCAGGGCTCAAATTCCTGACACTTGGTCACTTAGTCACTTAGTGGGGGGAAGAAGCAGCTCAGCGGGGAAGAAAAAGGCAGGAACTGTGGAAGAATGTACTTACGCTGCTGAGCCTTGGCTTCTGGCAACCTCCCCTCAGCCTGTCCAGCCTGAGGGTTTCCTTAGCTCATCTCCCAGACTCTCCAGAGACAGGGCCACTTCCAGAACCAATCTTGCACCCGGCAGTCTGTCCGAAGCAGCGTTAGCTCTGCACCCTGGTCCCCCTGGCAGCGTCTGGCCCCTCTGTCCCCGCCAGGCTCCAGGCGCTCCTCCCTGGCTCTTATACCTGCCCAGAGGGTGGCCAGCCCTGGCCTTGCGCCCACTCCCGTTCCAGTTGGGAAGCCCGGCAGTGATTATTGTCCATCAGAAACTCAAATCCCATAAACACACACAAACAAGACCTTGTCAGCCTCTGACCTCCAGCTCTGCCCCCACCAGTCCAAAGAGATGGTTCTCGAACTCTCATCACAGCTGCCAGTGCCACCTGGTGCCTGGAGCCCGTCATGAGGAACCTTGCTTTATCAGGTACAAACCTTGCTTTATCAGGTACAAATGCTACAAGAAAGGGCAATGCTATGGGAGTCTCCATCGGTCACCCCATGCTGTGGTGGAAGCCCAGGGCTGGGAAGCAGAGAGAAGCAGTCCTGCCCAGTCCTGGCTTGTTTCCCCTTTCTCCCCCGGGGTGATGATACTTGCCTCACTGGCGGGCTGTGACCGTAGGTGAGGTCATGCGCGGGAAGCCCGGTGTGTGGCACACAGGAAGCACTTTGCCCACGGGAGTTACTTTTCTGTCCCTGGCTCATAGTAGGATTCTGTGAATGCTGCGTTGTCAAACCACAGAACCTCCAGCTGGAAGGGGCTTCAGCTAATCCCAGAACAGTCTCGACCCAGGGCACTATCCCCTGGAGGATATGTCCAGCGGCGGTCTCCCGGCCTCTGCTGGGTGGGTGAGCCCCTTGTCTCAGGAGGCCCGCCTTGTTCTCACACAACTGAGAGAGTGCTCTTCTGCTGGGCTTTGTGGTGAGGACCTGAGCCCTAGATAGGCTGCCCAAGGCCAGGTCTCTTGGAGCAATGCCCCCTCCAGAAAGGGAGGGATGCAGAAAAGACTTGTATTATGGGAAAAACAGGCCAAGTGAAGGGCCCCGTTGCCACCTCAAACACGGCTGTTGCACTATGTGTTTCCACTGTAAACGGTTCAGGGATCACACGTTTGGCCCTCTGAGCCCTCTCGGCCCTTCGCCCCCATTTTCCCCAGGCTCAGTACCCGAACCTCTGGGTACTTTGAGAAGCCAGTGAGATGTGCCTTGCTGTCCCATTCTTTGTCCTCATGTCCAGGAAAACCCAGAATGTGACCTGTCAGAAGCACCAATTGCCAATAATAGGCCCCTAAAAGCTCCCATGATGGGATTCTAGGCACCAGGGTGTCAGACATCCCAGCTCTGCCTCGAAGCTTGCCTTCTCCTTTCTTCTCCAGACCACACGCCACCTCTCTCAGAACTCCAGTATTATTGCCAGGAAACAATCTGAATGTCCAATAAAAGGGGGAAAGGTTAAAGTGACCCTTGGAACATCCACTCCGTGGGTTACTTCTAAGTTTTAAAAGTGATGTTTGCAAAGAGTTTATAAATGCACAGGGAAATGCCTTTGCCGCTCTGGTGAGTGGGAAAAGGCAGGACATAAAATCATATGCGCCGCACAGTTTCAGCTATGGGAAATACACTTGGCTAGAGTCCTTTCTAGAAAATAGCCCATGCTCACTGGGCGGCCTGGCTTCACCTCTTCACATGTCCTGGGACATCTAGTTTCTGTTCTCTGAGATCTGAGGTCTTTGTGCTCCTTGGTCTCCTCACTGTCACCGGGTGACTTTATTCTCCACTGAAAAAGCAGAGGCCATCGTTGGCCGCCCCCTCCTCCTCCTGACAGAAGCCCCTGCACCTCATCCAAGTCTTTCATCCTTCCTCCAGGACAATGGAGGTAAGGGCCCTGCTCCTTTCAAAAGCCAAGCCCCCATCCGTCGATCTGTCTGTCCCCCTTCTCTCCCCCTCTCTCTCCACACGACACTCCCCTCCCCAAATGCTCCATTTCTCTTCTTCCTACACTCCACCTCCATGTCCTGTTCATTCATCAGTCCACGCCTTTTGGCTTCTGTCCCCACCACCCTGGCTCTTGTCAAGGTCCCCAGCAGCCTCCAAGTGGTGCCCATGCAGTGGGAGGTCTCCTTCCTCCTGTATCTGTTCTCCTGACCTCCCGACAACACGTTGCTGTGTGTTCTCTCCTACCTCACTGGCTGCTCTCTCTGTCTTTTGTGGCTGGCTTTTTCTAGAATCAGAAATTCTTAACTTCCTGCTTGTGCGCCAGTTTTTCTTTTCTCTATAGATGCTCTCCCAGTGTGACCTCACCTGGTCCCATGGATTTAAATATCGTCTGAATGCTGATGATTCTTCATGACTCCAGACCAACTAGAGTGATCTGTTTAAAACACAAATTAAAAAAAAAAAAAAAAACACCCACAAATTAGATTATATCATGCCCCTGCTTAGAGGTTTCAGTGGCTTGTCACTGCATCAAGAATAAAGCCCCGGGTGCCTGGGTGGCTCAGTCGATTAAGCGTCTGCCTTTGGCTCAGGTCATGATCCGGGGGTCCTGGGATCAAGCCCCTCCCCCCCCATCGGGCTCCCTGCTTCTCCCTCTGCCCCTCCCCCACTCGTTCTCTCAATCTTGCTCTCTCTCTCAAATAAATAAATAAAATCTTGGGCGCCTGGGTGGCTCAGTTGGTTAAGCGACTGCCTTCGGCTCAGGTCATGATCCTGGAGTCCCGGGATCGAGTCCCACATTGGGCTCCCTGCTCAGCGGGGAGTCTGCTTCTCCCTCTGACCCTCTTCC